CTTTTAAATCTCCCATCATTCCAGGCAATAATAAATTTCTTAAGTTTGTGCTACTTTTCTTTAATTTTATCCCTTTTACCCTTTGTGGGCCAACTTGGTTTTTTACTTGAGACACCATTTTCTTTCTATAAGGAATACGCTTATCTTGCATACTTAAAAATTTATCTTTAAAAATTTTCCACATTTGATCAGTGTCTCCAGACAATTCAGCTACCTAATTCATAACAGATAATTCTTTTCACATCCCTTCAAAATTTGCTTTTTTGAAATTTGTACAGAAAATATAATTATTCCTGATCTCCATATGCAGCAAAACATCAAACTTTATTGAGCAATGATAACTAGCAGCCAGATGTTCCCCAATTTTCACCCTATCAACCATTTCTATATTAGAAGTTAACAACAAATTATAAATAACATTGTTTCTAGTCTGGTAAGTTCCTTGACCCATTGGTGAAGGAAACCATCTTGAACAGTTTGCAAAAATCTTTCTCATTCATGGTTTGCCTGTAACATTTCCCAATCTATAAGCCTGAAATTAAAATCACCCATAACAATGACCTCATTAACAGGTGAAATCTTAATATCACTATAAAGTTTATCATTAATTTCATCAGCATCATCTGATGGTTTGTAACAAATTCCCATTAAGAGCCTTTTCCCTTTAAACCTGCTAAAATAAACCCAAATGGATTCAGTCTCCTTGTTATTATTATCTTTGATATCTTCAATTTTAATGGTATGTAACTCACATTTTACATATAAAACCACTCTTCCTCCTCTCTTTAGTACTCTATCCCTATTAATAACCTATAACCCTGTATTTCAAAGAAATTTCTGTCATCAATATCATCTACATTTAACTATGTTTCAGTTATTCCCCTTATATCAAAATCCTCCATTCCTATCAGTGCCCCAATATCATCTATTTTATTTCTTATACTTCTAGCATTATAATAGTAAGAATTTAAGCCTATCCTTAGAACTACTACTATATTCATTTCCTATGCTAAACGTTCCCCACATCTTTCTTTTTTACATTTAGTTTTCCTCCCCTCACCCTCTATAGTCCTAGTTTAAAACTTCCCTTACAACTGAGTTAATAGCCCTTGAAAACAAGCCAGACCCTACCCTATGTTAACCATCCATTCCAAAAAACTCCCTTCTCCTGATCCCACTAGTCCAAGCAGCCAATCTGCTCATCCTTACATATTAATCTAAACCTAGCATTTAGCCCTAGTGACCTACTTATAATTTCATCCCCACAATTAATTTTCAGCAGTATTCCTGACACATGCAACATATTTTTTAAATATTGTTAATCTGTTTTGTATACTTGTTTTAAGGTATTTCAGTACACTTTCTAATCACTAAAAACTCAAGAGTAAACCCATGACACCATCATATTTACATGACTGTCATTTAAAATGCTTGAGAAAAAATCCTTGCATTTTTTTTTACAAGTTATGAACTGTAGGGAAAACACATTTTTTATGAATTGTAATACATAATGACAATCTATGTAGATTTACAGTAATATAATGAAAAGGAAAACAAACAAAAAATCTTAAGACTGTCATCCTAATACAAAAGAAACGTACCAAATCTAATTTCTTGACCATAAACAGAAACTGTGACTTAATAAGTTCAAAGTTCTTTCCTCAGTGTTGGATTTAAAAAAATTCAAAGTATATAATGACTTTGCTAAATAGTTTAGCCATTTATTCAAGAGAACAAAACCTGTTTGCATTTTGTTTGTTTGTAAACAAACACTACCTATGTAAAGCTTATAAAAGTGCTTGACATGAAATTACGAAAAACTTTCAGTATCTACTTACCAACACTATGTCCTCTGCAATTATGTAAAATAAGTTTAGCTTTCTCTTTGACATCAGATGGTAGATTTAAATCTTCCATTAGGTCAGGGTATAGGCATACTGAAATCACCTGTTACCACAAAATAGAAAGAAAATCAAAGCATGTCAATCAAAAACTTTAGTACTTATAAAAGTTCAGCCTATATGGGGTATTATCAATTAGTTAAATCTAATGTTTAAAATAAAAGGTAAATGAAACTAGTTTACAGAAATCAGAATAACTGGTAAGAAAAATAAGTTGAAACTCATAGATCAAGTAATTATTGTATTTATTTGGTCAAACAAAAACATCACTATCTCAACTGAACAACTGCAAATTACTATATAAAACATGGTTGAAAAAATTCTGCTTTGTTTCAGAAAGGGAAACTATTCTAACATAACAAAGTATTATTATTATTATTCAGCTTACTACAATGAAATAAAGCACCAATAATAAAACTTAACAATACATATAGGTAGATACAAAATAATTATTTCAGTTAATTTTATATAAGTAATGTTCATAACCATATTATTCTCTGCACAATCTAATAAATTTTTTACTCAAAACCTTCATATATTTGTGTGTATGTGTTGTTGCCTGTCTTTATATTATAAATACAAATATACACACACACACACTGAAACATAAATGAACAGTTGTCCATATTTAATTTAAACATTTGGACTGAAAGCTATTTAGTTTAAGAACTATAAAAAATTTTTAACAATTGCAACACTAAAACATTAAGCTTGTGTTACTCTAAATTATATTAGATTCAAAACCCAAAGTGATTTTAAAAATTCTAATTACACAAATTATGGATAATTTACCTGTAAAAACTATACTTCAATAAATAAACTGTATTGCTTTGATTGCTCAATTTGGGTTTACGTCTATTAATCAATAGAATTTCCGAAATTTATAGTTCTTGTTCACTTTTCACCCTACAAATATTTTAAACAGTCCTCTACTTATATATTCATTACAATAATTCAGCACATGTTCTCTAATACTTGAAAATGATGTAAATCTAAAATCAGCATGTACTTCTATGTAGACTGTTAATCACAAATTGGTAGAACTGATATACCATAAAAAACATTTAGGACATACATTTATATACCAAATTAATAGTTCTGAAAGGTAGCTATACAATTTTTACACCTGAAGAAACATTAATCTGCATACAGGCTTAAAAACACATCTTAACTATACTTGAAGGTACACTCGATGGCATAGGTTCCACAGCTGATTTCTAATCGGAATAGCTTTTTTTTCCAGTATATGGGAGGATAAAAGTCTTTTGTTAGTTTTTCTACATTCCAGTTAGGTGATGTAGAAAGTGAGGCATTGTTTAAATAGTTTTGAATTACTTGATTTGTAACAATAATTACAATATTATATTATCAATCTATGTTCATATTTACTGATTAACTCATATGCTTGATGAACTAGTATTTTAGCCAGATTTTTCTTAAAAAGACAATGATACGTAAATATGAAAGTTAAAATATGAGCTTGTGAAAGTTTTCTTACAGAAAAATTCATACTGAATTTCATATTGGGGTGTCTATTGTTAAGCTAGTTTAAAAATTCTCAATTTCTTCAGCAGCTCTAAAGATAAAGGAATTATCTACATAGCTGGCTGAAACTGTGAAGGACATTCTTCTAGCCAACATTTTTCATGGTGACCCAGGAATAAATTAGTGAGTGATGGAGCTAATCTACATCACACTACTAGACCATCCATAAGTAATAAATATCATTATGAAAAAACGAAACTGGATTCTTTGATGGCAAATTTCTTAAAGGAACCACAAACAGTTGTTTAGGAAATCTAATTTCATTATTGTCATTTGATACAAAGTTTTAGTGCATAAATTAATGTTCTCTTCTAGCAGTATGTTGGTAAAAAGGGACTCTTATATCAAAGTTTTAAGTTTAGTTTAGTAGATGGGATAGCTTAGATGTATAAACTAGCACAATAAACTCCATTCTTAAAATTCAAATTTTTTTATTCCATGAAAAAACTCAACTGTTTTTTTTATAGTGTATTTATTTCTAATTAGAGGTTGTAATAAAATAACCAGAAACTCAGCTAGTTTATGATTATATGTGCCTATTCTAAACACTATCAGCCTGACAGGATATTCATATTTATGCATTTTAGGAACAATGTAAATGATACCCGAATGGCAATCAATTGGTTTTATTTTATAATATTCATTGTTGTCTGTCAGTAAATTATCCTTTTTTATTTTAATAAGTATCCTTGTAATTTACTTTCTCTATTTTTGGATCTTTATCTAGTTTCACAAATTTAGCACTCTCATTTGAGATTTCATTAACTTTATTAACAATCAATCTGACTTATAGTAACCAACCTACCTTCGTTATCAAGCTATAACAGCTATATCTTCATGGCTAATATTTCCTACTTGTTTATATTTGTATATATATATTCTTCCAGAGATGTAATCATTAAAAGATGTTAAAGCAACACCACTTATCTGAATTCTTATGTTGTTAAGATTCATTGCCTTCCTGTCATATAGTTTATTTATACAATTGCTGCAGCACCTACTCAAAAAAATTCAACAAACAATCTTCATACTTTAAACTAATTAGTGGAATGGTAAATTTTAAACCAAGGGCTAAAACCCATTTTGCATTTTAGTTGTGTTTAGTTTTTATGGTAAGCTAGATGAGGTAAATCATGTGTAGTAGTTGTGAAGATTTTTTGATATAGAGTCAATTTATACCAACATATCACTAGAAGAGACCATAAATTTATGTACTAAAATTTTGTATCAAAATGAAAATAATGATATTACATTTCCTAAACAAGTGTTTGTGATCCTCATAAGAGTTCTGCAACCAAAGAATCTCATTTCCATCTTCACACCAATACTTTATGACTAAACTCATGGCATTGTTTGGGAACCTAAATTAGCTACATTACTAACTAAATTTGATACTCATGGTGGGCAGAGCAAAGATAGCCCATTGTGTAGCTTTGCCCTTAACAACAAACAAACAAAGTTACTAAAACTACATCATTGACCATATCCTCAAGAGGAGTTGAGATTATCTTTAAGACTGTATGCGTACTATAGAATGTTTTTAAGGTATAAAGACTGTATACCTTACCTTCAAACTTTCTAATGTGATGTATGAATATAAATATATATTTTTTTTCTTAGTTATATTGTTCCATTTCTAGATGATTAACATTCCACATCCAAGAACATGCTAATTTAGGTCTACATTACTTGCAAGTACTAAGAAACATACATTTAACAAATGTGATGAATCTTATAAATAAAGAAGAACTGGGGCCAACAGTGAACAAGAACTGTAAATAAAGGAAAGTCTGTTTATTAACAGATTAAAACTGAAGTTGAACAAGAAAAACAGTGTTGTTCTTTTCTTGTTGAATTTGTGTGTGGTAGCAATGTGTTAGTTAAAAACTATACTTGCTATATTTTACCCTTTTTATGCCACTGTGATCAAATTGTAATGCATGTCCTAGTCCAGATCTTGCCAACCTGTGGTCCACAGACCACTGATTGTTCATAAGCTCTCTTCAAATAGTCTATGAAAGGTTTCACAATTCCGTAAAAGAAGAATTTGTAAATCCAAGAAAAAAACACACACACTAGAGATTTTAAAAATCCAACTATACAAGTAGGAAGAATATGTATAAATTAAGTGGAAAAGTATAAAACTCTCTTATATGCTGTTGAGTTAAAGTAGGAAAATCATATTTTCTACTTGTGAATTTTGATGTAATGTACAATAATGATCTGCCTGTTGATTTCTCTACAAAAAAAGAAGAAAAGCACTTATTGGAGCTTTCTAGGTATGAAACTTCAAAGTCAGAATTTCAAAGAAATACACTATTAATATTTTTGGATTGAGAGAACTGGAGAGAACTTAGAACTTGTAGACAAAACAGTTCATTTTCTAATGTATTTGCTATCATATACCTGTACAAGAAAGGGTTAATATTAATATGCGTCTTTTAAAAGCTTATTTTGTTTTGTTAACTTATACTGTTATTATGTGGTTGACCAACAAAAACATTTGGGAACTATTGTTCTAGACTAATCATAACAAAAAGTGTAACATTGTTTTAAAAATAACACATGAAACAAATGTGATAACATTTATTAATTTTTGGTACTTACCTAAAACTTAAAAGTTGAATTTAGTGCTTTTTACAAATGTGGTCACAGTTGCTAGACATGCTATAATTTATCCAATAAACTTTTAAGTATTAAGTTTAACATATCTCAGTTCTTAACAAATTTGTTTGTCATCATGACATATTAAAAAATTTTAACTTGACTAATGTTGTTTTTATCTTTTTAGTTTGACAGATATATTTCTAAACACCTAACCTGTCGAAAAAATGTGAGTGGCTTTTGGCCAACTTCCTGGGGATTTCCTGCATGAAGCAACAATACTTCTGGAAATTCTTTTCTTCCACCCTAAAGAAGAAGAAAGAAGCAGCTCTTCAAAATGAAGAAGAATTCCTTTGCCTGTATAGCTTCCAATTCTGTATTATGAGCATACATGATAATGAAGACCAACCAAAATTTTCACCAAACAGACTACACATGTAATGTTAGTATCACATATTTTATTATTACTTTCACGTATTAACAAAATATTAAGCATTATCAATTTGCAATAAATACAAATGGAGTATAATTTTTTTCTAAGCCCAGCTTTTATGTAAAATATCATATTGGACTTCTAATATTTGATAATAATTTACCACAATTTATATTTCATGAAAATTAAGCCAAATATGTACAAAAATATTATTTTAGATCTATCCTTTTCTGTCACAAACTACAACTCAAGAAACATTTTCTATTCAATAACAAATTCTTTTTGGTTTAACTCCCAAGTGGATTAATTAAAAAAGATCTGTTGATAAATATTTGCAATTTCAAGTTAGTTGAACACTTCAATATGACCAAAAGATTTTTGGTGCAAATATAGCACATGGCCTACAATGATATTTACACTACAGCATGTCATCTACACAGATACTATCATCATCACTATTTTAACTTTCATTTATTTGCAATTGGTGCCACTTATTATAAATAACACTTTTAAACTAATAAAGTACAAAATACAAATTACATAACATTTTTGTGGCAAATATAATCAGAATGAAATAAATTATAACAATCAAAACTAGCACAATTATAACCTAAATTTAAGGTACTCCTTTGGAACACACAACTTATTAAATTATTATTATTATTATTTGCTGAATGAAAACATGGATAGATATAAATTATTTAGCAAGAAATATGTTTTAGTGAATCATTAAAATGGTGATGATGATGATAGTATCTGTGTAGACCACACACTATAGTGTAAATATCTTTGTAGACTGCATGCTATAGTAGCACAAGGTTTTTCTTGTTTCACCTGCTTAAGCATTTCACATTGTACATTAACATTACATATGGCTTTCCAGTATAGCATATACAAACAAAAATATTTGTATAGGAATCCTAAAGGTATTAAAATATCAAGATTTTCAATTATATTGCATCTTGACTATACTATTTTCCATCAACAGATAAACCTCACCAGCATAAATTCCTTACACACTACTAATATTAAAATAATCTGTGAAGAAACATAACGCAACTTTGACTTCTTTCAATAAGAATGAATGAGCTTAAACGATGACATTTAAAATCTGTAATTAAGTGAAAGAAAATAAACAGACAATTATGATAATAAATTCAAAGTACATACCCATAGTGTAATCAAAAATCTGACAAACATTGTATAATGATGTGAAAATTTTCACTTACATGGTTAAAATGTTTGAAAGTAAAATCACTAGATCAGAAAGATGAAGAAAGGCAATAAGAGTAAAAGTTTTAAACAACTAAACATCTAATTTGAAAGAATATAACTCAAGATATGTCCCATATATGTATCAGATGATTCAGTATATTTAACCACTCTCTTCAAATTGTCAAAAACTAAAGCAAACCAACAATATGTTAAGTGATTAAATTCAGTATAGATGGAAGATGTGAAAAGGAGTTAAGATGGAGAAAGTATAAGCCAATACCACTACTGTTCTAATACAGTATTGCTAAAGACAATCTCTTTTAGAAAAATAAATTTTCTCTTTATTGCCAACTCTACTCTGTTTTGTATAATGGTTTCAGTCTCTCACTGGCACATCCAACACAATGACTTTTAAAAAATGTGAAGTCTGATAATAACATAATGTTTAGGAACAACTAGAGATCTACTGTTCCATTTTGGCTGTCCCATCCTCTAAACCAGGGGTCTCCAAACTATGGCCTGCCAACAGTTTATTAAAGTAATAATCTATTTTTTTTTAATATTATAAAAACAAAAAATAAAGTGCAGGTTTGTGCAAGATATCCTTTCTGACCTAAAACTATAGTTCATGGAGTGTTTTTCTGATCTTGATGCAAGTGCAACAGAAATAAGGATCTTACAAAACACATTTGATTGTGTTATTGATGAACTGCCACCTGAAGTTCAAATGTAAGTGACTGATCTGCAATCCAACATGTTGAAGGACAAATACAAAAAAGGGAAACTGATAGAGTTCTATAAATGCCTTCCAAGTGATCAATATAGTAGTATCACTAGTAGAACTAGTATTACGCCACTCCTTCTCGAACCTTCATGAATTATTGGGAGACTACTAGATTGGGGGTAGTCTGGTATATATAAGACGCTCACAATGTGACGCAACAAGTGAATGAGTAATTGAATGTATGCGGACAAAATATTGTTGGCCACGTGAGACGTGAATTATAGTATTTGTTATAGAGCGACTGTTGAAATTAAGTGTATCGTAAAGTTGTAATCGGAAAGAATAAACCAGTTTTATTTAAGAAAGGACTTGTGTCGCTAAGTTTCATCGGAACGAATTTACAGAAAAATAACTAACGACTGAAGGCGTAACAATATGTTCATTTAAAAACTTTGCTCATGGATTCATTTCAGTTTTTGGCACTGCCTATTTCTGTGAAAAGAAATTATCAAAGATGAAGTATGTGAAATCTAGTTACACATCACCCTTATCTGATGAGCATTTGCAATCACATTTGATGATAGGGAGCACTAACTTTGAATCTCAATCAAGTGTAATTTTGTCAGAAAAACACCGGTTTCATGCTTCTAACTAATGCTAAAACAAGACAATTGTGCATCTTAAATATTTTCAATATGTGCTCTTATGAGAAATAAATTAGTGATGTTGTATTCTAATCATGTATGCATCACTACTTAATTTTACCATGACCCCTCCGGCCCATGAAGCCTAAAAGATCTACCTCCCAGCCCTTGTCCAAAAAGGTTTGGAGACCCCTGCTCTAAACTAAACTAAAACTGTTAAATAAATACATTTTAAAAACTCTTAAAGCCAGCCTTTATCATTCATATAGTTATCAATCTTTTTCTAAAATCACTTGAATTTACTGCCTCCATAACATCCAAAGGCCAACCACCCTGTTAGCAAAATGAAAATTCATATTTGTGTCCCCTAGTCCTACTATTCTTGCCATCAAATATGAAAAAGGATGATGCATCAATACTATCGATTCTGTTTACAATCTTAAACACCTCAATAAGGTCCTGGCTAGCTCTTCTTTTTTTTTTTAAGAGAAACCAATTACAGAGATCTTAACCTCTACTGATATGACTCTCAGGCACTATTCTACTAACCCTCCTCTGAACCCTTTCCAACAATCCAATGCCCTTCCTAAAGTAAGGAGCCCAAGACTGAACACAATACTCCAAATGTGGCCTAACCACAGACCTATACAGTGAAATTATAACCTCTTTAGGATTGTATTCAATATTTCTGTAGATACAACCTAAAAACCTATTTGCCCTGCCACTAGCAACAGCACGCTGCTTGGATGGCTTAAGAGACTCGTCAACCATTACACCAAGATCTCTTTCTTTCATGACACTATTAAGGTTATTCCAATCCAAATGATACTTATAATTCAAATTATGATAACCCACATCCATTATCTTGCACCTATAATTAAAAGCCATCTGCCATTTATTTGCTCAATTCACTAAATGATCTAAATCCTTTTGTAAAGTAGGAGCATCCCCTTCACAACTAGCAACACCCAAAACCTTAATATCATTAGCAAATTTAAGTAATTTATTGATCATTCCTTCATCTACATCATTAATGTAAATCAAAAGAAACAAAGGTCCTAAGACTGAGCCCTGAGGTACCCCACTTGTGATATTAATCCACTTTGAATGAACTCCATTTATAACAACCCTCTGCTTCTTCCATCCAGCCACTCTTCTATCCAATTAGCTAGCTTATCCCTCACACCTATAGAAATAATTTTTTTAAAAGTCTTACCCTTCTCTTACCCTCATCTACATAAGCATGCAGTAACCTTTTCAAAGAATGTCAAAAGATTTGTAATCCAAGATTTTCCCTTTAGTGAAACCATGTTGACTATCCAATAAAATTCTAAACTCTATTTAGTAACTTTGCAAGGCATCTCTTACCAGACTTTCTAAAACGTTTCCCACAACTGATGTAAGACTAATAGGCCTATAATTAATAGAACAAGTTTTATTACCTCTCTTAAAAAGAGGAATGACATTAGCTAACTTCCAATCCTCTGGCACCTGCCACTACTCAAGGACTTACAAAAATAGTAGCATATCCAATCCATAACCTCCTTCAAAACCCTTAGGGAAATATTATCTGACCCAGAAGCCTTATCCATCTTTAAAACTCCCCCTTTTTTCTTAACAAGCTCAGAATTAATGTGATTGTCTTGTTTGACCCTGTTTCCATCTCTCAACTGTTCAAGTTAAGGAATATTGGTTAAATTTTCATTAGTAAAAACTGAAGAAAAAGCAGAATTTAATAACCCACCTATCTTATAATCATCAAATATGAGCCTTCCTTTAGCATCTCACAAATAGCCCACCCCCACCCTATTTACCTTTAATGTATTTTAAAAAATCCTTACCATTAATTTTTACATTTTCAATACATCCTTTCTGATGTCCTAATTTCCTCTTTGACCAACTTTCTTGATCTTCCATAATCTTTTAAATCTCCCATCATTCCAGGCAATAATAAATTTCTTAAGTTTGTGATTCTTTTCTTTAATTTTATCCCTAAATACCCTTTGTGGGCCAACTTGGTTTTTTACTTGAGACACCATTTTCTTTCTATAAGGAATATGCTTATCTTGCATACTTAAAAATTTATCTTTAAAAATTTTCCACATTTGATCACTGTCTCCAGATAATTCAGCTACCTAATTCATAACAGATAATTCTTTTCACATCCCTTCAAAATTTGCTTTTTTGAAATTTGTACAGAAAATATCATTATTCCTGATCTCCATATGCAGCAAAACATCAAACTTTATTGAGCAATGATAACTAGCAGCCAGATGTTCCCCAATTTTCA